GTGTGTGTGTGTGTGTGTGAGTGTGTTTAAGGGGACGAGGGGGGATGGGGAAAGAATATGCCTCCAAAAGAAAATGAAAAGAAACTGAAAAGAAAAGGATGAAGGCTTGTACAAGAAAAAACAGTTGAGAGGGCGAGAGCAAATAGGGTCTTAACAAATATGTGATTTAAAACGCACAGAACAGATTAGGGGTCAATGGGGTTTATCGACAATCGAATTAATGTAAAGTGTAATACTGTTGCTGATAAAAGGATTGTAATAGGGTCCTTCCGTGGTCGATCTTCTTGGGCAGGCCATACAGTGGGGAAAGTGCAACGCCAAAACAAGGGCGCCTTATCATGGAACAAATTGGAAACGGTCTATAATTATCTAGCACTCAAAGATATTGATGGTAAATACGACAAAAATCATGCCCACGGGAATGAGAAAATCTAAGAAAATGTCTGTGCGCATACAATCATAAATATATACAAATAATAAAATACGTTGCAGCCTGTTACATAATTATATTATTCGTTCTTTAAAAGAAGCCCGGCATTCCGCTTGCACGCAAGACAAGACAAGAGAAAATATACATGATGAGCAAGCAAACGATTGGCCTTTTTGTGTCAGTCATACCCAGAGAGCGTGCGTATGTGGCTTCCGTCTGACTGGATTCTTAGCCAGAAAGAAGGCTATTCAAGAAGTGGCGCTGCTGATAAATAGAGATGGGAAATATTATAAGATTCTCACAACTAAAAAGGGACTCTCCCACCCCTCTCCACGCCCATACACGCATTCACGCACGCCCACCCATACATCACACTTGCGCACACGCACGCACACAAATACATATGTTTATACAAACACACACTCACACACACACACACACACACACACACACACACACACACACACACACACACATGCGCACACACACTCACAAAGTCGGATTCAAAAGGCCAACAGACAGAATTCACCTTCATTACTCCTCAACACGGGCAGCTTATCGACGGAACTGCTTTTTTTACCTGTTGTTTTACCCTTTCCTCAAGACGGGTCCGTTTCTTTTTTCTTTTGTTATTTATTAGTTTTTTGTAGTTGGTTTTTTTTTTTTGTTGTTGTTTT